TCATGTCGTATATTTACAATTGCTGTACATTACTGGTTGGGCGTCTTATGTGTATCAAGTCGTATATTTACAATTGCTGTACATACTGGTTGTGCGTCTTATGTGTATCATGTCGTAAATCACAATTGCTGTACATACTGGTTGTGCGTCTTATGTGTATCATGTAAATCTACAATTGCTGTACATACTGGTTGTGCGTCTAATGTATATCATGTCGTATATTTACAATTGCTGTACATACTGGTTGTGCGTCTTATGTATATCATGTCGTATATTTACAATTGCTGTACATACTGGTTGTGCATCTTATGTGTATCAAGTCGTATATTTACAATTGCTGTACATACTGGTTGTGCGTCTTATGTGTATCATGTAAATTTACAATTGCTGTATGTACTGGTTGTGCGCCTTATGTGTATCATGTCGTAAATTCACAATTGCTGTACATACTGGTTGTGCGTCTTATGTGTATCATGTCATGTCCTTCTATTGAGACTATCGCATCCGCATCACTGCATGCAGGAAGTTAGCTACTTTTATCCGCGTTCTATCTCTCACAATATGTCCGTAGCTTTGGATATAACATTTCAATATAATAATTTTTTTCTGATGCTATCTCTCACAGCCGTCAATTCAAATACACGTATAAAGGCCACCGGGAGTTCATTCCTGAACAATACAGTTAGTACGGTAAGTCAGTTGACGCGTTGTATCGTACTGAATGTCCTCGAACCCCTATGCATGTATGCATGAATTTTGTATCTATAGACGAAATTCGTGCTTTTCAATACATCGCTCGATTTATTTAGTTCCTGCCGAACTGACAGGCGCGCGCGTAATTGTATTGCCGCGTCTCATCAGTCGCATTAACCTCCACTGGTATTATTGTTCTATAATATTAGAACTATTTGTAGTGTTTGCCATAGTTCTTAAATATTGTGTTCCTGTGAGGCCTCGAAACAAATATCTGCCCGTCTATGTGTGCTCGCCAACCCCCTCACTGCCGCTTGTTTTGTCCTTCTTTCATTCCGTACTCCATATACAAGATGGTGCCGCTGTATATACCGGCTCTGGTGTGGTGACTGATAGTTATTTCTACCTCAACAGAGGAGGGATCGATTCGAGTAGTGGCGGTGCTATCTATGCGCAATATGGTAAGTTGACGAATTCTTGGCGATGAACTTTGTGGAGAGCCATCAGTAGCACCGAATGTGTCTTTTACGGGCCATATCAACTGGTACAGTTGAGTTTTTATACTTTTCTGTGTACTCTGACGTTTGCGTCAACAAGGCACTTCCTGATATTGACTGGGAAAACAGTCTGCCCTACATTTATATTGAATTGCGTCCGTGCATGTAAGATTCAGGTATTTTCAGTGTTCACTTTGAGATTTGTACATCCTGAAAGGTGTGTGGATCGACGATCTTTCTACATCTACGTTTCAATTTCAAGTAAATCTGCGTAGTATTCTACATTGGCTCGGACTATCTCGCGCATACCGTTTAATGTTTTAGATTGCGTTAGTAAAAGCGTCAGGACTGCTCTCCTGCCTTACGACGTGGGAATATTTTCAGCACTGAATATAACACTTCTTCTGTTACCACCTTGACAACCAAAGGCATAACCCTAACTAGGATTGTAGCGTCGGGTAATGCTGCGTAAAACGGGGGTGCGGTTTTCCTTTCAGACGGTCTGATGGCAGTAGTCGACTGCGTTATGACCAACAATACGGCGACCGGTGTCTCAGGCACATAGACTGTTTGCAAGGTAGTAGGGATTGGTCTTGTGACCAATGAGACTACTCGTGTAATTTTAACCCCCACTATTCCACCGTGCATGTCTGCGAGCACCTTCGAATTTGTATCGCCTAAAAAAAGGAATACACGAGATAGTGGCGCGTATCAGTCTCAGATCTGGAGGTTTAACTTTTGTCCAGAATTTGAATCCGTATATCTGGTCTTAACGTGCAGTCGTGATGAGGGCCGTATGAAATATCGCAATCATTGCACTCTGTCCGAGTTTATATCACCGGTCTCGCCTCAAAATCGCTCAAATAGTATTTCACGAAGTCTATATAAAATCTCTTACCCCCTTGCGGCATACAGCCCTGGGGGGCGCATTGAGCGCCTTCGGCGATATCCAGATCAACGGTTCCAGATTCGAGGGCAACCGGGCCAAATGGTCTGCAGTGTACCAGGCGTCGCTGAGGGAAATGGGTGTGAGAAACTCGTCTTTTGTAGGCAATACCTGCGAAATGGTAGGAAGCAGCACTCCGCATTTGGATATTTTGTGTTCGTAGTCGTATGGAGTACAGTGGGCTCACCTTATGGTGTTGAACTACGGCTTTCTGCTGTCTGACCTTTTCCATAGTGTGTTCGACGCCAGTACCTACCGCTCCCGCTTGTATATCTCGCGTCCTGTTCTATTTTTGTACATATATATATATGCAGTATATGGTTCGGGGTCAAACCGCGCACGACCTAGAACCTCTGACTATTTAAATGGACAGTCAATTAAATAGCCTACAGTCAGATCTCATATTTTCTGCGCCGCTTGTTGTTTTCATCATTTAGGGTGGGTGCGCAATACACTCGAGTGGCCATCTTCTGATCACAGATAACTTTGTTGTCCAAGAATGGCGGATCACAAAGGGGCGGCGCTATCTACGTGCAAGAGAGTATGTCACGGTCGTAAGCTGTAGTTTGCTCGTCTCTAGCCTGCACGCTTGGTGCGGATATATTACTGAATGTGTGAGCCAGTTCTTCACTTTGTGTGGCAGTTATGCTGTTGTGCTGGCTCTAGTTTTTATTAACAATTAGTTGTTGTGAGTGAGGCTAGCGGTTTTACAGGTGTGTGCTACTGAATACCGAAGCTTGAAGAGTATTCCGTATGCGTACTAGTGTGTACCTTTTGTGTTTGTCATTTGCTCGTGCTTGCAAACATCTGACCCGGCCGATTTTTTGAGGCCCGCCTTTGAATGCAGATTTGACCCCTGGTACACCTGGGTTCGATATCCAATCTGACGCCTTTATCTCCGCCCGCCTGGCTCATACCAGACACATTCGCTGACAATGGGGCGTGCTGGTACAACGAGAGACTCAGCAACTCGTCTGTGTTCAATAATTCCGTCTTCGACAGCAATGCAGCTTCCGCGAATGGGGGCGTGTTCGTGTCGGGGTCTCACCTCCAATTAAACAACTGTGCACTCACGAACAACACAGCTTTCACGGGCTCTATCGTCTATAGCGGCGCAGCCCTTACACTGAACGACTGCGCAATGACTACCAACCGTGCAACATCGAAAGGTGGCCTGTATGTGTTCATTCTCAATGATGTGCTTCTGAACAACCTAACGGCTATGGAGAACATCGCCGGGGGCCATGGGGCCGTGGTGGTTACCGACGGCACCGATGTGTTCGCGGTTCAGTCGACCTTCCACTACAACCATGTAGCCCCTATGTATATGAAGTACAATGAGATGTACGGTGAGTAGTTGCCTGTGGGCGGGGCCTGCATCGGATTCCGCACGGGCAATATCTTTCCCCAGGCCTGCAACTTCACCTACAACAGCGTGGCCAACGGCACCAGTGGCGGCGCACTGTGGACGGGGTCTGGGGCTTTTGTGCTGCACAACGTCACGGGACATCATAACCAGGCGTCTGACGATGGCGGGTTTGCTGACGGCGGCGACAAAGTGAGTGTCACGGATTCGTCGCTGGTATATAATACGACAGTGAACCAGGGGGGTGCGCCCAAGGCGTACGGAGCGGTCTCGGTGGTCCGCTCAGATATCAGCAGCAACACGGCCGGGAACAGTGGGGGGGCTATTGAGGTAAGTGACAGCGTGAGCCTCACCAACAGCACGCTTACCTGTAATAGAGCTGCTAGTGGGGCTGCGATTGCCACTTCCTCCCTGTTGCTCGTGGTCGACCCCCCCCCCCCCCCGGGAATTTAAGCTTTGCCAATAACCTAGGTAGCACATACTGTCCGTCTGTGTCCATCGCCTCTAGTCTCGGGTGTGAGAATGATATGGTGGATGCCTGCCAGTGTGAATGGGCGCAGGACCTGGTTGAACAAAAGTGTGGAAGCACTGCAAAATGTACGTACTCAGCCCTCAACGCGGCGGTGTCGTGTGTGTGTGGTGAGGATAAGTGGAGCCCCGACAACCATCTGGGGTGTAATGAGTGCAGCTCCTGCGGGGCTGATGGCGAGATAGTTGCACCGTGTACGTCCACGACGGATACGGTCTGTGCTTGTCCCGAGGGGTTGACAGGGGGCAATTGTACGCAGCAGTGTCAGCTGCCAGATTTCTGCATGGAAGGCAACACAACGGCGTGTGAGTTCAGTTCTCTGTCGCCTTCGGCGGGTAGCATGTGCGAGCGCTGCGAGAAAGGCTACTACTTATACCTGACCAGCGAATTGGAGGAGTGCAGAGAGTGTGTGAGCTGTGGAACGCTGGGCGTAATCTCGCAGAACTGCACAGAGACGAGTGATGCCGTGTGTGAATGTCTCGGAGGTGCGACCGGTGCTGATTGCGCACACATGTGTGAGGTACCTGTGGGGTGTACGGAGATCAACATGACCGAGCTGCAGCCTTACACCAAGGGGATCCTGTGTAATGTTTGCCACAGCGGCTACTACTTGAATACTACTACTCATCGATGCGCCGGGGTAACGGTATGTGAATCAGCCCATACGCGTGTGGTATGGGCTATGTTTCTGATCCGTGTATTCGTACCGTGAGGCATACATACACAGTTGTTCAGTTCATTTCCAGATTTGTAAGGATGCCCTTTTTTTATGCAAGATTATGTTACAACCAAAGATGCGATACTTTTTCTCTAAGTTCACGATCTATCAATTCTCGCTACAGCAATGTACGCGGTCACAGTACATGTATCAATTATACACCGAGACAGAGGACACAATCTGTTTACCGCTCACGGAGTGTGGGGGCCATGAGTACGAAAGTACGCAACCTACCACGACAACCGATCGCGAGTGTGCTGACTGCGCCTCCACCGATTTCTGCGTCGAAGTGATATCTGAATGCACAAACCCCACGAATACAGTGTGTGGCGGCTGTATGCATGGGGCTACTGGGACTGCGTGTAATATGGTGGAAGTTGTGTTAACTCTCGACGCCGATATCGACGACTGGACTGATGCAGACGCGGAACAGACAAGTGAATCTATCACAGCCTTTCTCCGGGTGCCATCTGAGTAAGTGTGAGTGTTGTTGTCCTCTGCTGCGTTTGAACATGATGTTTGCGTATACATGCTTAATAGCTTTTGAATGACATCGGCGGCGATAAGGTGTTTGTTGCGACGTTTTCTCCACTGCGTGGATGGGCATGATTGCTGTGTAATGTGTAGATAGCACCCTGTCAGATGCTTGTGCAAATGTGTGGATGCATATTGAAACTGCGAGCAAGAGCGGATGACTAGTCGACCCCGCTAGTTGATCTCGTACTCTTTAAAACGCGCCCCTTTTGGCGTGCCTAGCGAACGGGTCGTGATCTCTTAGTCGCTCCGTATTGTAAATATTGACAATTGACTGCTAGTCACTTTCAATATCCGTTGATATAAAGTGCTATCACACCTCGCCTATTTGCAGTGAGATTACGGTCTTGAAAGCGTCGGCCGGCAGTGTAGTACTGGAAATGGGCTTCAGCCCAAACGCAGCCACGCTGCTCGTGGAGGCTTCGAATAGTGGAGCACAATTCCCCTTGTACATGATTTCGATGACAGTTGCGGGCGATCCGGTCGAGCTGAACAATGACACCTCATCGGTAACCTCGTGGATAGTGGCACTAATCACAATAGTGGTAGTCGTGATAGCTTCCGTAGCTATCGCTTTGGCCTGGGCCGCAAACAAGCTCAATCTGTTCCTCAATATGCCTGAGAAATTCCTGGCCAGTATGTCGCGCCCTTTGTCGTACCATCTGCTCTAAGTGGTCTTGGTGGGCGTTCTTTTGTGAGTATGATCGGTTCGGTTGTGACGTGCTTTGAGTTGTCCTTTCCACGACATCACTGGTCTCATTGATCAGGAAGTTGCGCAGAGCTTTCGGGGTTCTGATGCTCACTTTTTTTGAAACTTTTGCCTCAAGACGATTCATACGACTGATTCGGATTCTGCTGTCAATTCAAACCTGACTCTATGCGTGCAGCAGATGAAGTCATCTAGAAGGGACAAGTGTTTATTATGTTCACCCCTTCTCATTTTCATCGCCCGCTTGGCCTTTCCTATGCTGTTTTTGACTGGACTACAATCACTCTGTACCTTTCCAAAAGCATCAATCTCTTATTATATCTGTACCACGCCTTCGCAAAGCATTATTGCTACGTTTGGTGTCCTGCTTCGTATATACCGGTCCATCCTGACAATCAACCTTCTATCTGCCCCACGCCTCACAGAGATAAGTGACCCCACCGCCATACTCATTCGCAAAGAGATGAAGCGCAATAAAGGGCATGTCTCTGTCGATCGCCTGGAGAAGATCCAAGAACTACACCGTAGTCGTTTCGGCGTAGTGTGCTGTGTTGAGGTTAAGGAACTCGGGGAGTTTGCGGAACAGAGCTCCCCTGTGGCTATCCGAGTGCTCAACGTTAATCTAAGCGATCAGGTCTTGGCCAGTTTTATGGAGAATTCGGTATGTTTGCTCTCAGGCTAACTATTGATTGCAGTCGACTGTTCCGGTATTTCATGCTTAGTTTTAAAAGCGCTTAATATGGATCGTATGAAGGGCTATGCTCGATATTACATGCACCGCCTCGCCCAGTCTGTTGCACGTTATGTTAGCTTCCCGACCGCTATCCCACCTCCTGGGTTGCTACTTTACACTGAACGATGTACTTGCATCCATCCATCTTCAGCTTAAAACTATGAGTTTCGAGTTGGGAGCTCTGGCTCTCTCACAAGGTCCGCATCTGTCAATAATAATGGTGCTGATGACTATGGGTGATTTACATACGTATCTATTCTCTCAGTAAGTCAAAGCACATTCTAGCGGCCCGGCCACGTATGTTTCGAGTCCATATATTAACGTGCCATATCGATATTAATGTTTGCTATTGCTGTACGTATGTTTTTAACTATACGTATGCTACCAACAGAGTAAGTTCAAGCGTTTCTTTTAAAATGATATTAACGTGCCATATTGATATTAATGTTTGCTATTACTGTACCTATGCTTCAACTATACGTATGTTCTAACTATAAGTATGCTACTAACAGAGTAAGGTTCATTTGTTTCAAATCCATATTAACGTACCATACAGATATCGACGTTTGCTGTTACTGTACGGATGTTTTAAGTTTACGTATGCTACAACAGAGTAAGGTTCAAGTGTTTGTTTCAAATTTATATTAACGTACATATGATTATCATGTTTGTTATTAACGTATGCTACAACAGAGTAAGGTTCAAGTGTTTGTTTCAAATTTATATTAACGTATCATATGATTATTATGTTTGTTATTAATATTGTTACTATACGTATGCTACAACAGAGTAAGATTCACGCGTTTGTTGTAGTATTAAGATTGTCGAGGTGTGTAAATATTTGAGAGATCCTGTTTTTTGAAGACGTGAGCTTGACCTGTCATGCCGATGCGTAGAGAAACTAATAGTGTCACAGCTCAGTAATCAAGTCGATTAATTCTGTTTCTGTTCCGGCAGGGACAAGCGGAACGTGAGAGTCACACACGCGGAGAAGCTATTCTCTGCATTCCAGATTGCCCGAGGCATGTACTACCTCAGTGACATTGGTGTGGTGCATAGCGATTTCGCCAGTCGCAACTGCATCCTCACTGCACCCGGTCAGGTGAGCCGACTCACTTCTGCTCACTAGCTGTGAGTGTTCGGTGTCGGTTAGTTTGTTCATCCCTGTGCGGCTACTGAAGTGTTGTCTGTAAATATCGGATGTATTTCAGACGAAGCTGTGGTGATATTCACGATGCGATGCCTCAATTACCCCCCGCCCCCCCCTCCCCCCCAGCTTAGCTAGCGACTATTTAGGTGCGAACGAGGTTTCTACATTGCGGATAGTTTTTACCACTACTCTGCCACTAGAGTTTTACCCTTGTATACTGACTCGTACAGGAGTTCTAGTGCTGTTCACCATCTCGGTGAGAATTGTACCCGTATTCATACTGCCACATCCCAATCCGTCTAGCGCAGAATACTTTTGGTTTTCCGGTGGTGAAAGTGGCCGATTCCAGTCTTCGACGTGGGATAGTCACAGAGGTGTGCGGGCAATCATTTGCTGAATCCCGCAGGGTGCACTTAAAAACAGGTGTAGATTGGCTTATTGGCTCGCCCTTGGCAGTGGATAAAAATCATATCCATAAACTCGATTTTTCTATATGGCACCTGTTAACTACCTAATATTTTCCTGACCCGCACCTATAGTTATTGACAGCACGCTTCGTTTCGGTTTGATTGTGCTTTTGGCTTATGGTCAAGCGTTCACATTCACATTATAAAGCGAGATTCATGGCGATGAGTTAGAACTTCCCAGTACAACAGGGTAGTGTAGTCACGGGCGTCCTAACCATGTTTTTGTGTTGCGTATTGCTAATGGTATATCTGATTCAATCCAGATAAGTTCTAGCTGATAAGTTCGGTACAACCTTTTTGTCACAACAAATAGTCACTGAACTTATCTGCTTGCTTGTTGCCTCGTCCGCTGTCTTTACACGCGACCCTCAATCGGCGTAGGGATTGACGATGTCACCCCGAGCCTTGGTAGAGGTAAGCGCGACTCGAGTATTGCTGCTATGAATGCTATGCACATACCCAGCAATCTTTGCGCGGTTTTCGGCGTGAGATTTGTAAGTAGGTATGCATACGGAATACGGTTGACCAACTTGGCAACCTTTTTACAGGGAGCAACGCAAGCGCGAAATTCTAGAACCTGAGTTTGCAATGCGTGTGGTTGTTCGCTGGATATTAACTTTGAACTAATTGGATTGGACTTGGTGAGCCTTTAAACCGTATACGTACCGTTTACTCCACCTAGAAGAAAATTGTTACACCTTGTTATCCTAATCACCGCTGTTTGCCTGCAATTCAGAAACGATTCAACACCGAAAGTGATGTCTGGTCATATGGTGTGACCCTTTAGGAAATATTCACGGACGCAAAGGCGCAACCTTACAACGGTCAGACCGGCATGAACTATATTTTGTCGTTTCTTCGGGATGGGCAGCGATTACCAATACCGACCGGTTGAACCAAGGTAGAGTCAATAGTCTTGCATTCCAATTGCTGGGTAAATCATACTCCACTGTGTAGAAATTCTGTGTGTGATCCTGATAGTTTGTTGTCTACAACCAAAAGTACGGATGCAATTCGCGGGCTTCTATTCTACCTTTAGGTGCGTGCGTGCTTGCAGGATATGAATAAGGGCCAAGACTTGTGTTGCTACTTGTCCATAGCGATGGCAGCCTGCGTCTTCTGCGTTGCAGGCGTACGTTTCATCTCCCAAGGTATACACCGCACAATGTGATTGTCAAGGCCTTCTTGTTAAATAAGAATTTCGTATTATGAAACATGACGTTCTGTTATTTTGGTCCAAAAAACATGCCGGATGCGGCGCGTACACCACTCTAGTGCGGGTACTGTGGAATCCAAAGCTGTTTCTACCGTCACAACATCAACAGCAGCATATACTCCCACACGTTCTCAGTCAGCACAGCGTCTCTGTTGCACGCTACTGTATTCGTGTTTATCCGAGTGCACTAAACTTTCTTTTGCCCATTTGCAGGAAGTTTACGATATGATGCTCAAGCGTTGGAACATCAACCCCGACGATCGACCTACCTTCTATACACTCACCGGAACTTGTGGTGGACTCTTCGTCCCACACTGCCCCCAGTCCGTCAAATTACGGGTATCAGAACTCGCGCTCCATACCGCGCGTTGTGTCTCTGAGTTATTATTGTTTATAGGGAAATCTGCCTGCCAGATGACACTTGCCTTTTATTATATGGTTGTACCTTTGCCTTTTACTATTTGTTGTACCTTTGTCATTTATCATATGGTTGTACCTCCGGACTGTTCGTCATTGAAACTGGTCAGTCATTCATTCTCGCGCTAATGTTGTTTTGCTTCTCGCTTCCATCGTAGGCTGTTGAAGCAGATATCGCGATGGATTCGCACGAGAGGGAGAATTTATCTCGCAGATCACGGGCCGGGCACAAGGGTCGAAATATACAAAGTACGGTATCAAACAGTGTACGAGCGAACGTCAACAATGTGCACAACATCTCAATCGACGACGGGGTCATGGGCTTTCGCCGAACCCGGCAGACGCAAACAGTATGACAGTGGCCTCTAATATCAGTGGCACCAGTGGTATCACTCAAGTCAACATCATCCAAGACCCCAATCACTCTATCAGGGGGTACAAAAATATTCCCGTACACGAACCTGCATTTGGCATACGGGAATACGAAATAGTTTCGGCGGGCGGAAACTTCGCGAGTTCCTTGTATCAGAATGTTGATACTGATGCTTATGAAGCAGATCTAGTCAGTCGAAACTCGAATTATATATCGGCCAAAGACGAGAGCGAAAATGAATACCAACGTAGCACGGATAATAGGGGTTACACTGCCATGCAGGAAGGCCCCACTGAGTGCGTATGTTGATACAGGGCAAGGGGATTACGCCTACGTAGAAGATGGAGATCAATTCGAAAGCAATACAGAATTAGTCCTTGCTGGGAACCCCCGCCTCGTTGACCAATAATGATGCGCTATATCTTATTGTTTTATACTTAGTTGGGCTTGCAGATTCGTATGGTTTCGTGGCCATCATCAAGTGTTGAGCGGACTATTCACACTGGTAGTCATAGACCAGCCTCGGGCGTTGCCTTCTGCGGTTGACATTCTCCAACTTTATTGATCCAAGCACCAAGGGAAAACTTCCAAGTGACGCCAAAGATCAACGCGTTGATCGACTTGCTTTTCCAAGTTATCTCTGGTGAGACATACATCTTTGAGCGTGTAATTGACGAAAAAAGACACACCGTGGATCATAATCACAGTTTTCGACGAAATATATGTGGATGTACCGGCTCTACACGCTTTTGTTCTTGAGAAGCGCACCTATTGCACGATGCCGCTTTTTGCTGACAAGTAGGCTGAAAGGCAGTAATACTCCCCTGTGACTGTGCAATCGTATATTTATATGCTTGCTCTTATGGAACGCAATGGGGCATGCCCCTAGAATGGGCCTAAATTTACCAGCTTTGAAGCAATTTAGACAATAAATTTGGACAAAGTTTAAGACTAATTAAAAACCTGTTTCGTATCAATTTAGACAAGTCCAAGACTATTGAAAGACCTGCTTCCTATCAATTTAGACAAAGTTCAAGACTAATGAAAGATCTGCTTCGTATCAATTTAGACAAAGTTCAAGACTTTTGAAAGACCTGCTTCGTGTCGGTACATCTGTGTATTGGAATTTGTAGACTGATGCAGGGCTTATTCACTTCTGAGATCTAGGAGAACTTTATTGTCAGATGCCATCACTCGAAATGGGAAAATCCTTGAAGAGTCATTTCGGCTAACAACCAATCAGAAGCCAATGATCACGTACTACTCGATTAATGGTACTCAGTGACGCAGATGAATTGGTTAGCATTCCGTGGGGGGGGGGGGGGGGTTGGCGTCTTTTCCATCCCTTTTATATAATCGCATCACCAAAACTTGTACACCTAGAACCAACATGGAAATCGCCCGATTTTCAAAACTGGTATGCGTTGAACTACGGGTCGTTGACCCAACAATTGTTTGGCGATAGCAATTTGCTCATGTGATACCCTCACGAATTCCGACAAGTTGAACACTCATCAGATAAAACGCCATTGTGGCAAATTACTGCAGGCCCTGAAACTGCTCTGCAAGCTCTCCGAACGTATATCGAGATGCTACCGAGAGAGGAACGGATAATTGTATATAGCCATCCGATATTTTTGCAGTCTATAGTACTATACTTGAGGACGTGCTTCACTAAGCTGATTCGGAAAGGTGTCCGAGGGCGCGTAGGTTAGCTTGCGGTTGCTTGACTGGCCCTCCCATGTCCCAAAATTTCTTATCGGCATATATTACGTGTGATAAATATTTAGATTGCCGTGCTACCGCACATCCTGCACAGCCTCTATAACCTGCGCCATACTCGCTCGGGGCTGAGATTGCGTCTTACACCTGGTTGGGTCCAAACCACTACTCCCAAGCTGCTCCAACGATTGTCCTGCGCCAGTACTTGGGTCTACTATATGCAACTGATCGTCGGACCAGCTCTGGTTGCGCAGCCTCATCTCGTTCTGATGTTTAGCGTCCTGCGAGCGCCTTCGGCAACACGCCCCGGTACAGTTCGCATTGCCACACTCCCTTGCACATCCCCACACACTACCGACCAGCAGCGGTGATTTGTTTGCATCCGCCAGTTCCGTTACGGTAGCCGCTTTGCCCTTACCCGTTCCCAACCCTTGAACCCCCTCTACCCCATTCGCACACACCCCCATGATCTCGCTGAGGTAGTCTTCGCTCCAGGCCGACCCCACCGTTTGGTTATCATGCGCACGCCGCGTACCACTGCTGCCGGCACATTCAGTTCCCGTGCCCGTGTCACCGTACCCGTTAGCCCGTATACACTCACTGTGTTCCAGAACTTCTTCAATAACACTCGCCCCGGACGCTCTACGCAACAAGAGCTGCTCCGACAGATTGTCATACGAAGGGCTTCGTAAGATCGGCTTTGCTTCCGGCGCTGCTGCGTCGCCCGTTGCATTGGGTGATTGGTGGCTCGTGGGTTGTGACTGGTGTTTCGGGGGCACAGGAGACGTGGGAGCGGTACGCGCCTGTCGCTGCTGGGCGATGTCCTCTGCGGTGCGTTGCTTGCTGTCGTCTGACAAATATATCCACGTACCGAGGCTGTAGGTCGTAAAAAGGGAATGTGAGTGACAATTTTAGTTTCAGCCGTCATCTTTGGAGGAGAATCGTTGACGGTGTACTGCGTGGGGAATATCCGGCACGCCGTACACCTTCTTAAGATTTGAGGGTAGTCCACAGCTTCATGCAACTAAACTCATCATTAGTATGTCCGTACGGAGGAACATTTGTGCGACACGCGACTGGATGTCAAATACGAGCATGCTGCAAACATTGCTTTCAGAGTGCCGCACGAGCGTAGCACTGGTACTGTGAACAATCGTATCCATAACATATGAATCCCGCAATGCATCACATGCGAACGTGGTTTAGTGCGTATGCGAAGAAATCTACATACCGTCTAGCAGCCCCCTCGCCACCAAATAGCGGTTGATCGGCCCAATTATAGTGCTGTTTCGCTTCTAGTTGCTTCTGATTTTGCATATCTAGGTCGCCAGACAAAAAGTGCTAACGAAAGGAGGAAAGGATGAAGAATGCGCCGACAATAGTGCTATGAGCGAAGGGTTCTCGTGACTGGTACTAATCTGTGTAAGGCCTCAATATAGTATTAAAAACCCGATACATGACATCGATTCAGATTGCCTATTTATCACGAACGCAATAGCAATCACTTAAATTTGCAGAAACACAACTCGATGCGATTTACTCACCTTGCACATGGACTTGTCCATTCGATTTACAAACGTTGAATAAACCTTCTCACTCACGTTGAGATTGAATTGAATGCCTGTTAAGATCTTGAGTTCCATGTGCCATATCTCGCGCGGTGTAAACCAATTATTCACCTGCAGTGTGATGACCCAGTGAATGAATATTAACGGAGGAGTGGCCCGGGCTGATCAGGATTGCAATAACAGCAACAGGCGCACAAACAGGTCCATATATCAACGTACACGATTATTAGTCTTATATCGCCCATACTGCGACTCGAGAGATCCAAAACCGATTTTACGCATATCCGCGTTCTTATTTCACCGCGCGTAAGCATTTTTCATGTTTGTGATCAGGATCTATTAACACACAAGGGCTTGATAGCTTGGCGCTTCTAGATCATTTAAAAATCACACAGCTATATATATATATACATATATATATAAGCACACCAAATCCAATCCATCGCATAAAAACGAAATGAGCAGCACTGCACAGTGCATTTGAATGCATCACTACATCTCACTCGACACTGTCACATATCAGATACCAATACCTCAAGTGGAAATGATACACGAACGGCACTTACTATCGGGTGCGGTGGCTCGTCGTACAGAAACTTCGCTGTGACGATCAGAGCAGCGATTAAGAGCAGGTGCGGACAGCCACGTATACTGTGCTTGCCTCTCAGATCCCGGATTTGCTTCACGTACAGCAGCGAGAGTGTGAAGGAGGTGAAGGACATGCGACCGGTGTGAATCAGCATGACGACCATCTCTCGCAGAGTGGGTAGTACCACCCCTTTGGTGACGGGCTGTTCATTGCCATCGCGTGTGACTACGGACCGCAGCAGCCGAGCGGCAAACTCGACAAATGTGACAGCGATGTTCCGGTCACTGCTGTGTAGAAACTCTGTTTACATTACGCGGCATGCCGAAAAAAATTAAGCGGAAAGAATATTCAGATTCGATTTGACGAAACTCTATAGAGAAACATTTATAAGACTCGACGCGACTCAGCTCCTGCAGAATTAAAATAATTTCACTGTAAACACAAAACGGTCGTAATATCCCTTGTGCATGAGTACATAAATTCAGCCGCAAACCTTGCACCGCAAATGAAGGTTTTATTGGTATCGTATGCATGTCAAAGGTTATTGCGCGAACTTCTATAGACCAGAAAAAAATCTCCAGATTAGGTCAATCGCACAAATACTTCCAAAGGCTGGGTATCGCCACAAGAACTTCACAGGCTGAATAATATTACAAGATAATGAGCGGAGCGACGGGTTGCACACCGTTCGTGTAAGTTTTTACAATCCGAAAGGTCACAAGGTCTTCATTTTGTCGCACACAAGGCACATACATAATACACATAAATCAGCAAGCACACTGTACCGTGAGCTATGAGCGAAGGGGTCACCAGCGTCTGGGGTAGCGGGTGTGAAGGCACAAAATGCCTTGCGAAACTGATGGCTCCTAGGAAATTCCAAACCCGCATTTCATAGGCGGCTGGAGATTGCAGCAAGGCTTGCATATAGTTGTGTAGTTCTTCAATCCGTATCTTAGCAACCTGAGTACATACCAGCAACATACGAAGGAAGGTATCAGCACAAGTCGAACATCGCTGAAGCGAGAGACGATTGGTAGTGTATCAGTGCGCTTACTTGCTTGTAGTGGTGCACAGCCAGTCATTCACGACTGTAGCATGCGGAAGAACGTTCATACTTAACATCCATCACTCGCTACAGCTACGCATTGGTCGCGGACATGCAAGGATGCAAAGTGAAACACAGCAAATATTAGGAGTCGAGACGGACATTTGTAAAATGGATTATTCTGTGGATACCTTAGTTGACGGGTTGAGGAAAAACCGCTTCGGTGGAAATATGTTCTTCAGATCGTTGGCGGGAAATTGCATATGACCTCTGTAGAAAAGAAATTGAATTCGTATTTTGTAGCATTATTTCCAGACCACAAATGAAGGAGGATATACTCGCGACGAGCGCGACCCAATATTTTGATTTAAATTGGTAGTCTGCAACCACTAAAGCAGCTATTCTCGCTGACGTAATAGTAAGCGCTCAGATATTTCCCTTCGGTGTACGAATGACAGTAACGGCACACCGGTAACATCAAGCATTACGAGTGGAAAGAAAGCCATCTGAAATCAAACAACGCTCGCTTTCACCACCAATAGCGACTGACTTCATTATCGGCAATATTTGTAATCACCACTCCCCAACGGGCACAGAAAGGAAAATAAACGAGACTACCTGAACTTTGAACTTAAGCGCAAAACTTACCCTGTGATATAACGATGCAGCTCCAAAAATTGAGAGAAGCGTCTATGTACCGTCCACACGCCAAAGTCTGTACATATTACCACTATATACACATGAAAGGACCGGGGAATATCGCTGACCAGCATAGCAGCCTTAACTGATACTTTGAGTTTGGGCACACGTTTCTGCGTCACGGAAGAGCCTAAATGACGGTACACGGACAAGTATTCAGCTTAAAAGAACAACACAGGTACACTGAGATACTATGCATTTAGGATGCCCAATTCAACCCTCTCCAGCGCTTCAATGAGAGTATGGCAATCAGTGATCAAAGAATATGAACTTACAACGACATCAAGTTACGATCGCGGATAACTAGACAGAAAACAGCAACGGATATCGAAAAATAACAGCAGAATCAGTTCATGATCATCATTTATAATTTTTTATGGAAGTACCGTGTATATATGTGCGTAAACGTTTAATTTATATATATATAAATATATATATAA